ATCTGGGTGGCGGTATGCCTGTTTAGAACATGGGATGCTGCTACTGTAGTCTTTCCCGCATGTGATGAGCCTCAGTAAATACCAAATGAGCTTCGTCTTGGCTCAGTGATGCTCGCATAGGTGAGAGTGTCCTGTGTGGGCTGTGGGTATTAGTTCATAAAGACGTATCTGCAGCATCACACCCTGCATGTCGCAGATCGCCTGTGTGGCCTCAGGCTCTGGTCTTGCCGTCTGCTTCCCTCTCGGCGGCCCCTGCAGATCTCTCCTGCCCTCTGAAACGATTCTGCCAAAAATGCCAGTCTCCCTAAAAACAAAATACATTGTTGCCACCTTCAAAAAATCAAGAAAACCAGGTTTGGAAGATCATCTAGTCCGAGGTCTGTGGACCAGACCCTACCCAAGGCCTTTTTTGTGCGATTCATGAGCTAAGAATGTTTTTTGCATTTTTCAAGAGTTGTAAAAAGGAAGAAAATATGGCAAAAACTGTATTGACCTGCAGTGCCTAAAATCTTTACTATTTGGCTCTTTCCAGGAAAAGCTTGCCAACCCCTGGTCTCACCTGACTGCCTGCTGCAGTCATCCTTAGTGTAGTATTAATTGGTGAACAGTCGTCTAGTATATACTTGAACACTTCCACTGATGGAAGATTCATCATCTCTCTGGTCAGTCTGTTTCCTATTTGGACAAGTCAAAGGCTATTAGTAACTTTTTAAACTCTGTTGAAATCTTGTCTGCATGCAGCATCCAACTGTTGGCCCTTTTGTGGGGAAGAAAGCTATTATTTCATGTCAGCATTTCTGAGCTCCAAATCTATTCCAGGCACTGTGCTAATTAATGGCTTACGTATTTCTATATTGTTATTTTACACACACAGTACAAAATTCATAAGGCAAAAAGGTCATAGCATGAAAATGATTCTCTCCACAGCCCCGTCTCCCGACCCCACAGCTTCCTTCCTGGGAGACGTTTCCTGTGGGGGGTTGATGTTTAAGGACAGCACTAGCGCCAAGGTTAGGTCCACTTGGACAGGAACTTTTGGTAAGCCCCTTGCAGTGGCATTTCTCTGAGCTTCTGCTTGTATAAGTTGCTGAGCGTGACTTGGTTTTATTTCCATAAAAGCCTGAAATTTACCAGTTGTGGTGGTAGCCGCAGCCCCAGAGGGTTCGTATTGCCTAACCACCCACCTGCTATTTCAGTTGAATCTTAACTGGATGTTTTGGTTACTGCTGGGTTTCTTCTGCTCCTGGGATTCTTTTCCATTGCAGTGTCGAATCCTCATCAAAGCTCCTCTTTCACTGGAAGTGACACAGCCCTCTCTTGTGTAACTCCTGGGTTTCACATTCTGAATATAATATTGAAGTTTGATTTTAAAAAATATAACCTTTTAGCTTTCTAAGCTAAGCAGAGGCCTCAGGTCTCACCTGCACTTTTCAGGGTTACATGGGCAAGCCTTGCTTTTCAGGGCGCAGGTCATGTTTGAATCAGGGGTAGTTAAACATAAATGACTTTGGATCTCGGGCCCATCTCCCACTTCCTCCAGAATTCCCTTCTGATCATTACTATTTAAATCTTCCTTTCTAGTTAAGGAAGATGGATGTGTAGGTTCCTGAATGATACCTTTATATTTGCAAATCTTATTTAGGTATTTCCAGCAAATTTCTAATCACTTGTTGTTGCCGTTGCTTAAGACTTTTCTGTTGCCTTAGCCTGTCAGGCAGCAGTTCAGCAACTAGACACCAACCACATCCTCTTGTGAAATAGGCTTTTGATTTCTGCTCAGAATTTCTTGGAGGCCAAATAATGTCAGAAAATGAAGGATGTGCCTCTTATGCAAATTGCTTTCTTAGCATGCCTGTCCATTATCTTCTGTGGTCCTCCAGAGTCACTTTTTTCTCGCTGCTGAAGTGCAGTATGGAGTAGAATTTTCTCTTTTGTCTCTGGCACTGGTAACATTCCATCTTGGTGGCCTCAGCAGGTCACCAACGTGATGCCGAGTTCCCGCTGACCTTTAAGAGTAAGTTGTGGATGACTGAAATGTGCAGGGCTGTGATGACCTGTCCCACGGAGGAGTTCATATGAGATCCATTTGTCCCACTGTCTGCTGCTGTGTTGATTCTTACCTCTCTGAACCTCAGTTTCTTCCTCTGTGAAATCAGAACTGGCACTTCTTAGGGCTTTGGGGAGGAGTAGATTCAGATGCACACCCGTGCTGCCTGCCCAGACCGGCCAGTACCCAGTAACTGCTACCTTCCTCTCATTCCAGAGGGCTGTTTCAGGTTCAGCCTCTAGCACTTAGTGATTTATTGAGTGTGACAGAGAGAAAAATTGAATTTGAGGTTTCTACCTTGGATGTATGGTGTAGCTATTAAGTAAACTAGAACATATAAGAAAATGGGCAAAATTTTAGTAAAAGATGTGTTCAATTTTGGGTTTGTCAGACTTGATACATCTGTGAGAAATTCAAGTCCTCGCTTTAGAAGACACTTAAATACATGTTTGGAAGTTAGCGCTAGAAACACAGTCCTGGGATTCATTGGCATCTAGATGGATATTGATGTAGAAAATGGACAGTTTTGCTTTTGGAAAAGCTTATAGACTAAGGAGGAGGCTGAGCATGGAAACTTTCAAAAACCGATGGTAGAAAGAAAAAGCTGGCTGTGTTGTGTAGGAAGAGAGAAGAAGGGAGCAATTCGAGGCCCAGGAACCCAGGCAGGAGGCTGTTAGGCTGTTCTCATCCTGCATTTCTCAAAGTGTGAGCCCTAGGCCACCTGTATGAGGATCTGTTTCTCCACTGGGCACTGAAGCCACTGTGCACAGAATGCACAAGCTTTTCTGGGGCCTATGAAAATAGGAGTGACCTGAAAAAAGGTGAACATTCTGAGAGTGCAAAATTATAAGATTCTTTCAAACAGAAGCCAGAAATTAATATGGGACGAGAGTGCATTTAAACATATTTGAAATGATTTATAGGTAGGGACTCCAAAAGTAAGAGGGCCAGTGACCCAGAGGCTTCAAGATAGCGTCAAACTTGAATCAGAATCACCTGGGCACTAGTTCTGACCACCCTCACCCTCCTTTCTGTTCCCCCTCCCACTCCCTGGCAGGCGGAGCCCCGGCATCTTCATTTTGTAATAAGCTGTCAGAGTGGAGAAAGTTTGAGAACTCGTGTTGGGCATTGTCTGCCCATCATGCACGTGATGCTGCAGATCCACACTCAGCAGCGGAGAGTTTTTCTTAAGGACGGCAATGTACCTGGCTCCTTTACAGAGGCTGTTGCCCTGCTCTGCCCCACACTCATCTCTTTCTTGATTTTTAGCACGTTTATGTAGTGCTAACTTTGCGTTTTACCATGTAGTTACTATCGGTCCAAAACTCCTTGTCTGTAATTCTAATATCTAACAGTTTTGGAAAACTGAAAAGTGTGTAATAGTCTTGGCATAAGACTCGTGCAAAACCTCTCTGAATAGATGTGAACTGTCTTTTAAAAAAAATTTTATCCCATCTAATGTGACTCTACTCATACATTCTACCACAAAAGTACTAATCCATCTTGGAGCATTTGGACAGGATGGAAAGTGAAGTGACTTCATCAACTTTTCCCTTTTGGAACTGGCACTTTCCTCCAGCTTTGTGCTTCTCCACCTGGGCCTGTGTACCCCCAAGAATGTGCAGGGGATACAGGGAGTCACAGTGTACACATGCCTGATTGCCAGGATGGTCAAATTCATTTGATGATCTGAGGGGGAGAGAGAAGTATTAAAATGTATGTGATAGAGTAAAATGCAGATTTTCCTCAATTAAAAGGCAAAAGGTGATGTTGCAGTCACTATGTAAAACAGTATGAAGATTCCTTTAAAAACTAAAACTAGAGTTGCCATATGATCCAGCAATCCCACTCCTGGGCATATATCCAGGGAAAACTCTAATTCAAAAAGATACACACACCCCAGTTTTCATAGCAGCACTACTTACGATAGCCAAGACATGGAAGCAACCTAAATGTACATGGGACTGGATAAAGATTTGATGGAATCCAAATTCCAGAAAATTCCACACAGTAGAATATTACTCACCCATAAAAAAGAATGAAAAATGCCACTTGCAGCAACATGGATGGACCTAGAGATTATTATCCCAAGTGAAGTTAATTCAGATGAAGACAGATATCATATGCTATCACTTATATGTGGAATCTAAAATATACAGATGAGCTTATTTACAAAACAGAATCACAGATGTAGAAAACAAACTTGCGGTTACCAAAGGAAACGGGATGGAGGAGGGATAAATTAGGAGTTTGTAATTAGCAGATACAAACTACTACATATAAAACAGATAAACAACAGGTCCTACTGTATAGCACAGGGAACTGTATTCACTACCTTGTAATGAACTGTAATGGAAAAGAATATGAAAAAGTGTGTATTTATATATCTGAATCACTTTGTTGTACACCAGAAACCAACACAACATTGTAAATCAACTGTACATCAATAAAAATAAAAATAAATTTAATAATATAAAAAGATAAAATGTGAGATTTCAAAGACATTATGGTACTGTGGTCAGGATAGGGAATTCCTCCGTCCTCCTCGGCTGGGTTGCTCAAGCGCCGCCTCACTCAGAACCCTAACAGTTTACATTGCTGTGTTGCTAACTGGCTGGACTTTGGGATTTGTGCCTTTAAAGTTCTCTAGGACCACACACGATGCCAAAAACTTCTGAGACCATGGCTATGTCAAAGAAAGAATAACACTAATTCATCAGTCAGACTGACTTACAAGAATTTAGGAAGATTTATGAAAGTGAAGGCCAGGAGGGCCAGTGGTGTCATAAGGATGCTAAACTTGGCAACACAGCCAAATTCCACAGGTTACTTTCCAAAGTTGGGTCCTCAGGCAGCTCATCTCCCTGTTTTTGTTTGTCCGTTATGATTAAGCATGATTACACGTGTCCTTTCTCACCATGTTTTGTGCGATATGGCCGTGTTTTGTTTTTAGCAGGCAGTAAATAATGGCGGCAGCTACGGGGGACTCCGGACTCTCCAGATTGCAGTTTGCCCCCTTCAGCAGTGCCTTGGATGTTGGATTCTGGCATGAGTTGACCCAGAAGAAGCTGAACGAGTATCGGTTGGATGAAGCTCCCAAGGACATCAAGGGTTATTACTACAATGGTAGGAAATGGTGGATTCCATCTTCCGTCATCTTTGGGTACCTGCTCTGCCCAGGATAGGGTCAGCTTTCCTTTACAAAGAGACGTCCTTGATGTTTATAATTAATGCTTTTCACTGGTTTCTATTTCACTTCCTGACTTAGACCCAAGTTCGCTTTCACTTCTTTTCTCCTATTGGCAAAAGAAAGGGAGAACCTAACGTATTAATCCGAAAAATTAATACTGATTACTTAGTGTTGCTGGGGGAGGGGATTGGAAATGTTTCTCCCAATGAATCTTTTTTTTTCCTATATTCTTGGCCAATTACTTGAATTCACAAAAGCTGTCATCTTTTGCTAAGTCCCTGTTTAGTTTGGATAACCAGGAATTGGATGGGATGCTTTGGGCTCAACAGGAAGAGTAAAATTATTCACAGTTTTTGCTCTAAATGCTGCGGTTACTGACTTATAATTGAACATGTGATAATGCTTCTGTCCAGGTGATTCTGCTGGGCTGCCAGCTCGCTTAACATTGGAGTTCAGTGCTTTTGACATGTGAGTATTTTTTGCTCAAAATCTGAAATAAAGAACACTTTTTGGCTATGAAGGAGCGTTCCTAACCTCCAACATACGTGGACCACGGTGGGAGCTACGAAGGCTCCCTGTGAGCAGGGCCAGCTTCTCGTGACTCTCGCGTGCCTCCTGTGGCACAGAGACAGTGCGAGATACTTAGGACTCTGGTTTATCTTTTCAGGAGATGTTTATCAGGGCCTGTTAGATGCCAAGTACCATTAGATTGATTGAGTTGAGATAACACCCTTCCTGGTTTTGATTGTAGTTAATAATTTGTGATCCCTTATTGGTACCTCTTGACTTACTTCTTTAGTTGCTTATCCACAGGCATCAGTGAACACTTACTAGGCTGCTTCTGTCACTGTGCAGGGCATTGTAGGGATATATAAAGAAATACGACGTATGCCCTCAAAGAGGTTTTTTGGTCTAACTGGGGGCCACGGGAGGTTGCTGGAGAGAAGAGAGACATTTATTAGCTGAGTGTTTTCCATACGTAATCCTTTCAGATCTGCCAGGTGTGGTTTTTCTCTCTTTTACAGATAAGGAAACCATGGGTCCAAAGGTAAAGTGACTTGCCCAAGGTCACATGTGGCTAAATTTAGGGAGCGAGGGTGAGAGAAATGCACACTCTGTTTCTGAGGTTGCAGTCTGAGTAGCTGGGGGCATTTTGTTATCTTCTCCAGACACTGAGAAGCCAGGAGGGTATACAGTTTGGTGAGGAGGTCAGTTTGGTTCAGAACTTGTTGAGTTTGAGATGACAGTGTCCTGTAGAAATGTCCAGGAGGCAGGGAGTCACAGAGGGAAGGTCATCCACATGGAGGAGACTCTGAGGCTGTGAGAGAGGGGGAGATGGTAGTATAAAAGGAGCAAAGAGGAGCTGAGCGAGAATAAGACACGGTCGCCCTGGATTTGCAGTTTGAAGACCTGGTATCTGTAGCCTATTGTGTTTCTGGGAATAAGTTCTTCTAGTTTTCTCAGCTTCAGTTTCCTCATCTCTGACTCCCAGCTTCTAATGTTCCTTCCAGTTCTAAAAGTCTGATTTTCTGAGTCTCTGTCTCTTAGGATGGTTGGTGCTGTGGTCTGAATGTTTGTGTCCTTCAAAAAGTCATCTGTTGAAACCCCAGTGCGCAGGGTTATGGTATGAGGAAGCGGGCCCTTGGGCAGCGCTGAGCGCATGAGGGCAGAGCTCTCCGGAATGGGACGAGTCCCTTGTAAAAGAGGCACCCGAGCACTAGATTGCGCCTTCCGCCCTGTGAGGGCACAGCTAGAAATGGCCAGTCCGCAACCGAAGAGGCCCTGTGCCGGAGCCTGACCGTACTGCCCCTGGAGCGTGGGCTTCCAGTTTCCAGAACCGAGAGAAGCTAATGCCTCTGGCTTAGCAGCTGTCTCTGGTGTCGTGTTGTAGCCGCTTGGGCCGACTAAGACAGCAAGTTTAATGAACACACTTGGAGCTCCTCCAGAGAAACGAGTTCTTTATATCCAAATTATTTTCATTATTATTGTTCTTTCTTTGCTTTTATTGCTGAACATCTGCATGGGTTTGTAGGGAAATCTATGAATTTATTCATCAAACGGTTACCTCTTACGTGCAGGATGTGTAGGTGTTAGGAATACAAAGACATGAAACAGGGAAGTCGGGAGGAGCTCTGGATGGAGGTGGAAGACAGGGGTTTGCATTTTAGTGTGTGCAGTGCTGGAGTGACTGTGGAGAGGTAATAGCTGTTGAAGTAATACTTACTGATTGCTTCCTCTGTGTCTTGACAATAGAATGTGCTAGGCGCCGGCATGCAGTTGGAGAGCCAACAGCCCTGTCCTCACTCAGAGGTGCCAGGTGTTCCTCAGCTTCGCACAGCACCAGATAAATCCCTGTTGCTCGAGGCCCCGGAAGCCTGGTGGATCTCCGCCAGCAGTTAGCAGCACAGGGTCCTGTTCTCTACCTTGTATGAGGTGAATTATCAGTCAGGCAGTGTTTCATCAGGCACCGGCTGCCTTGCTCTGGAAGGTGCTGTCTTAGGGTAGGGTGGACTGCTGAACCAGACCCCAAAATGTAATGGCCCAAGCACAGAGGAAGTTTATGTCTTGCCCAGTCCAGGATGGGGGGTCCAGTCTTCTTCCCCCTTACGGCTCCCTCATCCTGCAGGGTTTGCCTTTATGTGCTGCTAGAGCCTGAACTGTCACCTTCTGGTAGCAACAGAAGGCGAAGGAGAGCCCGAGTGAAACTAGGGAGAGACACACCCACTCTCGTCAGACCCTCGCTACGTGGGGCGGACATCTCTCTGCTTGACTCCATTAGGGAGGCTCGAGGCCTCACTGAAGCTGCAGGGAAGACTGGGCACATGGGGAACAAAAACATCACAGAATTATTTCCGTTTAAGAAGGGAAAAATAGATTTTGGTGGACAATCCCTGTACCAGTCTGAAGCTGGTAGAAGAAAAAAATTCCTTTCCTTTGAGAAACATTTATTTATTTAGTCGTAAGAAAAATTTTTCTTTTGACCCTCAAGTTGGACTTATTGAGAGAAACAGACGGCATAACCCTTGCCCGCAAAGAGCTTAAGAAGTAGCTGAGGAAATAAGACCGGTGCGCGGTATCCAGGCGCTCTCGGTCCCCACTGTCTTGCCAGCGCCTCACCCGGGTCTGACGTGTGCTGGGTGCTCACACAGCTGCTGGCTTCAGTCACAAGCAGTCTCAGGGCCTGGCTGTCAAAATGGGATGTGGCGTGTTTCATGGAAAGACACCTGTGGACTCTGTCAGTGGGTGTTATAAACAGAAAGTCGGAGGTTATTATAGAAAGCCGGAGATGGCGCAGCATGCCCCCAGACTGAGGGTGACTTCCTAGGTCCCCAAAGTGCCCCACAGGCATGCAAAGGTTTCTCCCGGTGTGGAAAGCAGCCTTGTCCTTATTCTGGGGGATGCATTTCATACTGGCCACCTCCACTGCCTGTCCGTTCTGGAGGCTCTGGCCACATGCCTGCCTTTGGCCAGGAGTAAGTAACAGGTGTGAAGCAGCCCCAGTGCTTTTCTCAGCAACCACTGCGAGGCTGAGAGTGGTGAAGGCCGAGTGTCCAGAGGTAGCGTCCCCGAGGGGGCCCAGACTTGAGGCCTCCGTAGGATCTGTTCTTTACCAGGTTCGTGATACGTCTTTGGGAGTTCACTGCTGGCTTTAGGACATGGGCAAGATTTCTAATTCTGGTTTTTTAAAACTGCTTTATTGAGATATACTTTGCATACCATGAAATTCACCCTTTTAAAATGTACAGTTCAGTGGTTTTTAGTATATTCACAAAGTTGCACAGCCACCACCACTGTCTAATTCCAGAACATTTCATCACCCCAGAGAGGAGCCCCGCACCTGTTAGCAGTCACTCTCCTTTCCTCCCCTCCCTCCCCGCGCCTCAGAAAACCACGAGTCTACTTTCTGTCTCTATGGATTTGGTTTTTCTGGACATTTCATATAAATGGAATCATAGGAAACTAACCTCATAAATGTCCAGGACCAGGATTTGGACTCCATTTTCTTGTTTCCAAGCCTAGGGCTCTTTCCAGTCCTCCTCTGAGCCACCTCTTTGTGGAACAAGTGGAACTTGAACCTGGAGGAAGCTACTAGAATGGCTGTTCTCCTCACCCCCACCATTATCACTTTTTAAATTCGCCCACCCCGCCACCTCCCCTGGTGGGGCTTCAGTCATGGAAAGCGCTTCTCCTTTGAGACTCCCCTTGTCCTCACTAAGGGCACTGGTGTCCTAGGAGCATAGCCCTCCAGGGCGTGATCTCGTTTCCTCTGCTCTCAGAGCAAGGCTTTGGCCGGGCGTTCGCACATCCTGGACTTTTGGGCGTCAGGAGGGAGGGCACCTTCCTCCTCTTGTGCTTGTGTACAATTTAGATCATAGCATCCTTCTTCTGGTTCAGTGTGCTCTTTCAGGAGTGATTTTGAAAAGCCACGTCTGAGGGTAGAAGGCCCAGTTTACCAACTGCTCTGCTTCCTTCTTCCCTTTTGGCTTAATCTTTTCCCTTTGTGATTTCTTTTTCTCCTCAAGATTATCCTTGCTGTCCTCACCTCACCTGGATGGAGAGTGTTCTTTTATTGAAGTGGAGTGGTGAAAAACAGCCTGTGATTGGCTGACTCATCAGCTCCCAAAGGAAGGCTCTGGCTTTGGAAAGTTACTTCTCTCCCAGGGCTTGGCATTCAAGCCTTACAGATGGCACTTGGTGGAACCCCCCTCACCCAGGGAACCCCTCCACACCTGTTCTAGATTATAGCTCTCCTTGTAGCCTCCCAAACCCAATTTTACTTAGACTCTAAATGAAGATATGTGCTGGGTCTTTTAAACCACACAGTTACCACCCGTGCGTTCTTTCTGCAGTGGTTGTGACCGCACTGTTCGGCCACTAATGAAATGAGTATTGTTTTCATTTAGCATCTGTAACTTCTGAAACATAAGTTAACCATTTCAGAGAGGAGACCAGATTTCTCCACATCTGCGTTTGTGTTCAGAATCATCTTGTCCTTCTCCTCTCCTGACCTGCGTTACTCTGAAGACCGTGAGGCCTATGGGGACAGTGTAGACTGTGACATGCATGTGGCCCGACAGATTGACTGGTGGCCCTGGTGCAGCACATCGCAGTGTGCAGCTCAGATGCCCACGGGGGTGCGCTCACCAGCAGCTCCGTGCAGAGCCTGTTTGCGCTGGGGAGGTGGTGGGGTGGTCAGAAGAGGGAGGGACAACCCTGCCCTCGGGGAGCTTGCTGTCCTCTGGGTGTGTGTATAACTGTCAGTCTAAAACATTATTCTCAATTTTATGCACCTACCATTACCAGAGAAAGCAGGGGTGGCTTCCTGGAAGAGGAGGGTTTGCAGCAGGGCACTGAAGCCTGGGCGGCTTGAGTGGGGACTGGGCAACACCTTAGAGTCAGCTAGTTCTGACTTGGATCCTGGCTCTGCCTATTCTTACGTGACCTTCGGCAAGTTACTTTAACCTTTAAGTCAGGGAACAAAATCTTAGGAGAATTCAAACCTTGTACAGTTCTTGGCACAGCAGAAGCTCAATAAATAATGTTTGCCTTTCAGGTTAAAGATGGGAAAGGGTAAAAAAAGTCGGGAAAAGAGCTTGTGTTTGGGGGCCTGTGGGAGAGCAGCATGCTGAGAGATCAGGGGAAATACAGGGAGGTACAGGGCCTGCTTTTACTTCTTAGCAGTTATGCTCATCTTTTCCCAGAGAAGCATGAATCAGCCTTCCCTTTGCCCTGCAGAGCGCCGTCCTCCGTCTCCCCTGTTGTCTGGTTTGTTTGTCACCGCCCCCCCCCGCTCTCCGAGTCCCAGCTGTGACTGTTCACCGTGTCTCTGTCGTATCCAGGAGCGCCCCCACCCCGGCCCACTGCTGCCCGGCTGTTGGAACACTGCATAACACCAACACACTCGAGGCTTTCAAGGCTGCAGATAAGAAGCTACTTTTGGAACAAGCAGCAAACGAGGTTAGCAGGGGAACACAATGTTCCCGTCGTATTTTCTGAGGTCCCCCAGGCATGATGTTTCTGATCAGGTGTCACAGCGTCAGCGCAGAGTGGGTATTCAGCGATAATTATGGGCTTCTGCGTTGGTGGGGAGGTCAGAGAGAAGACAGGCAGGCTCTTGCCTGGGGGCAGGCAGGAATTCATGGCAGGGTGGCCGGGCAGCACGTGGAAGCTCTGCTGCTGGCCTCCAGTTAGTGTTGGCCGCTGCCTGGTCCCTGTCTGAGTGCTCTGCTCTGTGTCTGAATTTATTTGGGTTCTCTGGTCTCTGTCCTGGTCTTTGTCCTAAGGCCTGTAGTGCTATCAGAGATCACTTGGTCTCTCCAGTATCCTCAGGGCTAAACCTGAACCACTCCGTCTGAGTTACAAGGCCCCTCGTGGCCTGGCCTCCGTGGCCTCTGTGGCCTTTCTGTCCCGTCACTCTTGCCCTCAGCTGCTCTGACCCAGTCACAGCACATCGCCCGTAGTTGCTCCCTTCACCACTTTCTGTTCTCTCCTCTCTCCTTGGGACATGATGTCCTCTCTGCTTGGAATGTCCTTCCTTTACTTCTTCATATCTGAGTTAAGTGTGAAAAATTAAATGAGGGCACAGTGTATCCCAGCCCCCTCTAGCACCCACTTAATCGAATGGTCTTCACACTGGTCTTAAAAAACAAAAGGGTCTTATTTATGTGGATGCTGTGGTCAGAGGGAAGACCAAAGGCGTCCCTGCCGTCCCTCGTGGTGATGCAGCTGGTCACTCAGGTGACAGTGGTGGTTCTCCTCGGCCTGCGGCTTCACTGCTCCTGAGCTCCTGCTTGGGCTGCACATTCCAAAGGCCGTCTCCAAAGGGATGGATCAGGTCTTAACTCTGTTGTTGAAAAAAGCAGGTTGCTCCCCACAGGAGCCCCACCCCAGGCCCTCCTCCGGGCTCAGCCTGCCCCACCCCTGGCAGTTCCCACCCCCTTGGTTTGTCAGCGGCGGGGCTGCACTTCTGTGGTCCAGCTCCTCCAACGCTGTTGTTTCAACAGCAGAAATTTCTCTTGGCTTATTTCCCTCTTCACTTATGTGTAGGCCGTCGCTCTCATGACACAACTGTTTGTCTTGCTTAGTGACACAAAGTTTAGCAACTCAGCTCCTGAAACATCCTGTGAGCAGCACTTGCTGACCAGGACCAGCTTCTGCTTCCCCGCACAGGACTTGCCGAGATTCATAACCTTGGTGTCTTTTCTCTTCTCTTTCTTTCACATCTCAGGGAGAGAGAATCCCAAATAAGACTCGTAAGGAATCCTGTGTCCGTAGTTCAGATCACTGCCTCCCGGAACCTCTCCCAGCTCTGTTCCCTCCCGTGTCCTTAGCCGAGCTCAGTGCTCCTTCCAGGAATTGTCCCCACTTCCGTGGCAGCACGCACTGCCTGGTGCAGCGCATGGGCACGTGCGCCCGTGTCTCTCACTGACTGTAGGCGTCTTTCTGAACCCCCGATGTGCCTGCTGTGTAGTGGACAGGGGACATGCTGGAGGAAATAACAGAGGCCTGGACGTGGCCTGATTGCCTCCTCTGATGCTGAGACCCCCAAAGGGAGGCTCCCAGCTTCTCTCACTCTCCTAGTCTCTGTGGGATGGGGGCTCGGGGCGGGTGTGAAGTGGGCAGAGTGGGTGAGACCCGCTTTCCTCCTGGGCTGGGTCGTGCTGGGCCTGCGGGAAGGAAGGCCTTGTGACTGTTCAGCTCTGCGTGCTCAGGAGTGGGGAGCTGGGGCCGCCTGGTCACTGCCCTGACACTTCCTTTCCTCTGGCAGATCTGGGCGTCCATCAGGTCGGGCGCGGCCCTGGACAACCCTGTCCTGCTCAACAAGTTCCTCCTCTTGACCTTTGCAGTAAGTAAATGGCCTGGGCGGCATTTCGACTGCCAGACGGCCCTGGCCGAGCCTCGTGCGCCAGGAGCACCGTATGTGCTCCTCTCCCTGAAGCTTTTCCCTTGTGGGGTTCAAGTCGTGGCTGTTAAGGAAAGACGCGTTGAGTTAGTAGCCCGATATTGCTGGCACTGATCACAGATGCAAAATTAATTCGTTCTTACTGATCATATGAGTAGTTGTCGCCCGGTTTATACAACATGGGGACCCACTTCTCGTCCTGCAGGACATGACAAGGTGGGGTTCAGGGAGTAGCAGTTCACTGTCGCTAACATCTGTGTCAGATGCAGCCCCGCAGCTCAAGTGCTGGGCCCACCGGCAGAAGGAACAGGGGGCAACTTGGGGACCCCTGGTCATCCCCTGGTGGCTTCTGGACAGGAGGGCATCACCCCACATGGCTTGTCCACACAACTGTGTCCTTTTAAGAAAGAAAACTGTTTTATGTCATTGAGATCTAATTAAAATGCACCTTAAGGGCGCCCTTGAAGAGGAAGGGAAATCACATTAGGGTGACATCTGCTGCCTAGGAAAGTAGGGGAAGAAGGGAGCGGCTGACTCACATGTATGTGCGTATACATGTGTGTGTATCTCCATATAACACTATTTTAGCCTTTATAATCACGGTGACAGTATCGTGTTCTGTCAAGTGTATGTTCCAGGACTCCTGTCCATCTAGTTTGTTCTCGGTATTCACTATTATAAAAAAAAATGTGGCAGTAACCAGTGTTGGCCACACTGATTTTTCTTTAGAATAAATTCTTTGGAGTGGGCTTGTAAACATAGTGATGCTGACAGTTATTAAGTGTGTTGTTTCACCGCAGCGTCATTGGCTTCGGATATTAATCCTCTTCCCTACATTTTTCTTTTCTTTGTTTGGCAAGTTGTAGGTCTTGCCTTTCTTTCTGCCACATGAGCGAATCCTCCGTTCCGTGCTCATGCTGCCTCTCTGATGTCCTGCTCAAGGCAAAGGAGAGAGACAGGACTCTCACTGCAGGCTGTACCCAAGGGGGCTACCTACAAGGAGCACATTTTCTCACAAGTTAAAATGCTTTCTGTGCGCCAGTGGGGAGATAGAAGAATGTTTAAACTCTTCAAGGGATTACTCGGCACACTTTGGCATTGATAATTTATCTGTAAATTTGGGTAACTTTGTAAACTCATTGCTCGGATAGTTACAAGCAATACAAGTCAGAGATTTCTGGTGGTTATATTTTAACGTCAATGCATTTTCTGTACCAAGAATTCCAGTTAGAATCTGATAGACAATTTGCATTCACCGAGACAACATTAGCTCTCATTTAAAATTTTAAGGCATTTCCCAGAGCCAGCATGAGAGCATCAGCCATATTGTCCTTTCTGCTGAGTATTCTTAACCTGCCTTTGAAAAAATTAAAAGTCTCTATCTTTTAAAATGTTCAGACACAAGGGGCTGTACGTTTAATTTAATCGAAGTCCTTTGTATCCTGAAAAGAATCCTAAGAAATTCAAGCCTTTTGACTTTTGAAGATGACCTGATAAAGCTTCTTAGAAATCGTCAAGTCCTCCATCTTGAATTGTTTAACCTTTCACTAAAGATCAGTTATGACAAATCATTTAAGTACAAAGAAGACAGAGTAATCTCTGGAGGTGTTTTTGCTGCTTTTCTGCTGCTCTTAGGACTCGAAGGGACAGACACTTTATTAATGTCAGTTTTGCAGTTTGTTTTGCAGTTGTCAATGGGAGTTTGTTCTTAGTTGATAAATTAGTGGCAGAATTAAAGACTGTGGAAACTAATCACTAGGCTTTTTCATCTGGACTCAGGCTTATATATACATTTATATTTGAAAAGTTACCTACTATGATCCCATTTATATGAGAAGTCCAGATAGACAAATCCATAGAGACAGAAAATAGACTAGGGGCTCCCAGGGGATGAGACTGCAAAGTTTCTGTGAATGGTATTTCTTGTAAACTCATGGGGAATTTCTGCTACTGGGGTTTCTTTTGGGGGCAGTAAATCTATTCTGAAATTGGTGGTGATGGTGGTACAGCCTTGTTAGTGACTAGAAAACCACTCTCTTATACTCTATAACATGGTAAATTTTATGGGACTTGACTTATATCTCAGTGACAAGTCATCTGCCAACCATCCACTCTTTATTCGTAGCAAGATTAATTAGCCAAATAAACTACATAGTGGTCAGTGGTAACAGACTGGCCAGAAAGCTGTCAGATACCCACATAACTCGGGTCCTACCTCGTGAGCAGTTCACTCCACGCCTGCTCCAGGAATTCAGGAGCAAGAGTGTTCAGCCTGAGTGGGACCAGTATCCAGAACAGCTTCACAAGTTGTTGCCCCCACATCGCCTCCTGTGTTGGGGGACAGTCAGATACACCCCTGAAGCTGGGGTCTCTTGTATCATCAGTGCTCCTTTGTTCTTAGAACCTCTTCTGTGACTCATACAGCTAATCCTCTGCTTACTTTATCTCTGCTCCGTGCAAAGAGTGAGCTCCCTGAAGGCTCTCCTGGGTTTCATCCATCTTCTCCCTGTTAGAATGTCTAACATTTTGCCTTGTACATAACAAGTGCTTAGTTGTTGACTTGAACTTCACCAATAAGGCATTTCCGAAAGCAGCATTGTGTTATCTCAGGCATACATAGGCAATGAACAGCACATTGTAATAACTTTAAGAACGTGCTTAATTCATCTGATTGTGAAAAGAGAAGTAACCCTACTTGGAGGTCGTCCCTCCACAGATGGTGTGTGGTTTGTATGTGGTACCAAGGACAAGAGCCTACATTTTGGGAGTAGAATTCTGCTCCCCTGTCTGCCAGAGTATCTTTGTTTTGTTCAAATTCTACACCCTTCTCTAAACTTCCATTTTCTGTGTATGAAATGGGATGATAATATTTACCTCCCAGATGATTTTGTGTATTAAACAAAGATGATGTCATTGTCACTTATTGAATACTTCAATTAGCGAGTGGCCAGTACGTTTCTCATGATCTGTTAATTATTTTGTGGTGTGTGGGAGTATTTCAGATAAAGACAGAAGTTCTGTGTCCTCTCAGAGTTCTGTTGGAGATGAGAATTTCTGACTAAGCTGGTCGTATCTTGTGTGCATTAGTTTTTCTGTCTTACGTGGCTGTTGGGAAGTTACATGTAGTAGATGCACTTCAGTTTCATCATTGCTGCTATTCTGATGTGTCATGTTGTGTCTTCTAGGATCTAAAGAAGTACCACTTCTACTACTGGTTTTGCTCCCCCGCTCTCTGCCTTCCAGAGAGTATACCCCTCGTGCAGGGACCAGTGGGCTTGGATCAGAGGTTTTCACTGAAACAGGTATCAACAAATAAAACAAAATACAGGTAAAACTGGGTTTAACGTGCATGAGTAGTTTATCTAGGTCATTCCAAAGACAGATAGGCTCTTGCCTAGATGAAGAGGTGGTCAGTGTGGAATCCTCCAAAGATGGTACCAGGAGCAGGCTGACTTGCACCGTGTTTGTGAGATCATTTTGAAGAAGTACCAAGCAACAGTTTTCCAGGTTCTCAGTGGCATTTGTTGAAATATGAGGAAGGAGGAATTATAGACACATTTTGAAAGACTGCAAGAATTGGCCAACATGTGGTCTTCACTTTCAGTGTAGGGGATCGTGAGGCAATATACTTTGGGGAGAGTCTTTGAAACCAAGTTGAAGACATCCTCCTTCCTTTGTGCCAAGCTGCAGAACTTCCACATTAGGAATGGTGCATGCAGAGCTAGCCTTTACAGCTGAAGAAAGATAATCAGGTCATTAGAGATGGTTCTAAGAAGAGCTGTGAAAATCATTAGGTTGGTGGAACAGAGACCCTCAGCCAGAAAATTCTGGTCATTGCTGAGGCAGAGATGGAGGGCAAGATGACTTGAATTCATGAAGTGTGTCAGTCACTAATTCTAAAGCCAGGGAGCAGCCCTTCATAATTAAAAAATTAATAACAAATACATTTACTAAGACAAATCAAAAGTTGTGGTTTTGTGGGACTCATTTCCCAGGGAGAAATGTAAGTGGGAGAAAAGGATCACGCCTGTGGACTGACTGCTGATGGGTTTGAGGTTTCTTTTAGTGGGGACAGAAATGTTCTCAGATTCTTGTGGTGATGGTTGCAGATTCCTGTGAACATGCTAAAAACAGCATTGATCTGTGTGCTGTGAATGAGTCACTTGTGTGGTAAGTAAAGAAAGCATGTCTCAGTAAAGCTGTTAAAGATTATAGAAAGGGTCAGGGTGAAATTCATCCATGGTAACTCACGCTTGGTAATCACAGGAGAGAAATAATGTTCGGCCACGTCTCTAAACCTTTGTGGTGACATCTTAGGGAACCACCATGCTGTACCATGATATGTCCCCCTGTGCCCCTGTCTAAGACACACTGCCATGCACGTGGAAAGTGTTGTATAAAAGCCAGGTGGTTTATTTGGGGCATTCATAGGTTTATGTGCTGCAAAAAGAGTAACGGATATAATCAATCATTTCCAGTCTTCTGGCTTGAAAGTACCTTTTTTTAAATGTTAATTTTTCACTCAGAACTCGGTAAGTAATTGTCTGGAGAATAACTCAATGTTTCCTGTTTTCAGATTCAGGCCCTTGAGCGTGCATACGATGATCTTTGTCAAACAGAAGGAGTCTCAGCGCTACCTTACTTCTTAATCAAGTATGATGAGAACGAGGTGCTGGTGTCCTTGCTTAAGCACTACAGTGACTTCTTCCAAGGTCAGAGGACAAAGGTCAGAGAACATTTGTGTATCATTTTATATCCATTAAGAAAATCTGATGTTTGCGTTATGGTAGACCACTGCAAAATTCAGGCTCATTTAGATTTCTTAAACCCTCCAAAGACTGTCTCAGAACATTGCTGTATCTCCACCCTCTCCCACCCCTGCATTTCCCAAATCAGCTCCTCCTCCAGATTTTCGTAGCTCTGTGGCACCTCAGAGTAATTTTGGATTCCTCACTTCCTGCTGGTGGTTAAGTTTTTTTCAGCTTTTCTTCCTAGTGTATTTTGTATCTTAATTTTCGTTCATTCCCAGGGCTACCACTGTAGTTCAGGCCCTGGTTATCTCACTCCTGGACAACGGGGGCTCTCTTCTATCCTGCACCCCAGCATGACGGAAGGGTCTCCCTCAGACCCCCGTGTTCCCTGTGTCTTTCACTGATCAAGAGTTAATGGTGACTTCCTTCCTTCTGGCTCCAAACCACCTTTTCTGCCTCGTCTTCCGCTGTTTTCCTCATAAACCATTGCTCCAGCTAAGCGTCTCTGTCACTCACTGACAAGCCCCCCGAAGCAAACAGACCCAGAGCTTTTGCTGTATCTCTTTTTGTCCTTGTGTTGTCTTCCTGAAACACCTCCCACTTGTGGCAGTCCTAAGCGGCTCTCTCCCCTTGCTGAAACCCTGCCTCCACAGAGAAGCCTGCTTTCTCATGGTGTGGCCGATCTGACCTTTCCCCCTGAGCTCACTGCACTCACTCCCTGATCCCCACTGCCTGCTCCACTCGCTCCCTTGCACACGTTGTTTTTTGTGCTCTTAGACTGTGAGCTCCCAGAGGACAGGGACCGAGTCTTCTGTATCTCTATCAGCATAGCATCCAGCCTTTGTCTCGGGCCCTCAATAAAATTCTTCTGAATAAATGGAAGAGTACTCTAAGTGTCTGTTTGATGCAATGGGAGAGATAGTAAGCTGTCTTAGCCATATCAGATATTGTGAGTTAGAAACGAAAAATCGACGATGAGCATTATGCAGTTGTGAGATCAAGTGGGAGAATTTCGAGAGCTGTGCGGACTTGTCCGAGCTGACGGGAGGCAGGCCTCTCACCAATGCCCTGGCAGTTCCTTCCCTGAACTTCGGATGCCTTTTTTTAAGTAGATTTTTTTTCCTCAAAAAATTCACTAGCATTTTCTTTTTCAGAGGGAGCCCTTTTTAAATTGATGACTGAGGATTGAATTTTTACGAAAATTCTTCCCCCACCCCAGGCAGTTTCACAGAACTGTAGCTAGGTTAGGAGCAGCGAGACCACCATTAATTTGAAGTCCAATCTAGGGTGAGGCCCCGCTGTGACAGCAGGCGGATGAAGCGGCCTGCGTTTGAAAGCAGCCGGCCTGCGAGTGGTGTGCGGTGGAGAAGTGGTCCTGCCCACAGTGCAGCTCGAACCAAAAAAATTTGCAGAGCACTTTTTAATTTAAAAGGGGCTTTCACATACTCGATTTTGTAATAACTTTGAAGTAGGTGTTATCGGTATCTGCATATTCTGTTGGATAAAAATAAGACTCATAGCCACACAGCCCAGTTGTCCGTTTCCAAAGTCCGGGCACTCTTGTGTCATCGGGGAGGGGCGTCTCTGCTTGACCTTCGGGATCACACAGGTCTGAATTTGACACCCAGCGTTGCCACTCTGTAGCTCTGTGACCTTGGGGAGTTTTGCACAGCCTGTCTTTACCCTGGTCTCTCTGGTACACGGTGGCAGTACCACCTGCTACAAGGCTTCATGAAGATTAAACATGATAATATGGACAAAATGCCCAGCACACAGCAGGTGCTCCGTACACATCCACTTCCTTTCTTCCTCAGCAGCAACAGATTTTCAAAGAGTGAGCAACTCTCTGGAGTCTCCATTGAAGTGGTCTGGGCAAGTTCCCAGCGCCCTGACGCTGAGGCCGAGCACCTGCCAAGTTCGGGTAGAGCATCTCTCACTCAATTAAGGGCATATCTCAGGAAAGCCTGGCTTTGCTCAGTGCCTATGTTGAACACCTCCTGTAAGCCAGAAATGATGAAATATGATTATACCTCCTCTCACAGACCCTGGGGTCTTCTAAGGGAGATGAGACACTGACCTGTGGAAAGTTAACTAGAAATTCAAGTCACAGAAAAGAAGTGCCAACGAAATGATACAGGCGACACTTTGGTTGTTTATCTCTGCATCTGTGCCCTGTCTGGTTCTAGCAAGGATCACCAGAAGCGGCGCAGATTGGTGGCCTCTTAGGGGTTTCGTGGCCTCGTGGCCGACCTCCCTGTCTTTGGTCCTGGCTGTCCCATCCATCCCCCGCACTGCTGCCCAAATGCATTTTCTAACACGTAAATCTGATTGTGTCACTGTTCT